CGCGGAATTAGGAAGTAATTATTTTAACGCGGTACTTCTTTCTTTATATCTATATAAAAATGATCAAGTCAAAAGGGGATACTTAAATGTTATTTCGCTTCAGTTTCTCACGGAATTAATCGTGTCCACGGAATTGGAGCGCGTTATTCGCAGAGAAATAACTGCGGCGGTATTTTATACTACCGAGTGGTACAGTCGACCAAAATCTGCATCTGCGTTTGCTCGAAATGCAAACAAAACGTATCGTGACCCATTTTCGTCGCTCTGCGGACTTTGCGAGTATATGCGAGAGCTCACCGTATTTATTGCGGTGCCATACGCGTTTGCGAAGCATATTCGTTACGCGGCAGCTTACGTGAGTATACGCGCGTGGATAATGCCCGAATAACTTCAATAACAAGCTGTAATTTCAGGCAAATATTTGAGAGGCCGTTAATTGAATAATCTGAAACTCCGGGCAGTACACCCCCGATGATATCCCCCCTTCACTGTTTATCTCTTCTCAATTCACCGATGTTATCAGCACCGTTTCGTAACACACCATACAATTAAAACACGAAGGAATAATAGCATCAACGTTGATCGATAATCTTGTTAGTATTATATTACGTATTCAATTCAAGAAAAATTTTCTACCCTTTAATCTTTCGCAATTTGCAAATTATAACATAACTATTTGTAAGATGGTCAAAATCTACTGTTTGAATACTGACATGATATGGTACAGATATCGTCATTATGTGTGCACAATACTGTTATAAAGATATCTAGCTTTCTCTTTATACAGTAAACAATCAAATAGTATTGTGTACGTGCTACTGCGACACATAGTTGCCTTATGTAAATTTGCGATTGCGCGAAAGTATCACCGACGATGATTCAGTTTCCTCGTGCACAAACTTGGCCCCCTAATACGTAAAACGGTCCTGCATTTAATACCGCGCGTTTGTAGAACATAGGATTGAGCGAATAAGAATGGCTTTGACGGGGCAAAGAGCGCGGCCATCGTCATTTCATTCATCTCTGCCAGAGTAGAAATCCTGATGAAATCCACGTATCTCGCGTATATTCGTGTGACGCATATCCTCCCACGATGTGTCCGCTCACAAAGGAGTGTTTTTGTATCCGCGGTTCTCGACTTATTATGCTCGCGTGCGCTGTAAACTTTGTAGTTGTAATTAACGCGATTTATCTTGCAATTAACGTGATTCATGTTCGACCGTTCTCGTTCTCGCCGATCGGACGAGTGATTTAGACTGAATAATGTAAGACGTCGATATTACGGTAAAACATGATACAAAGGTAGGATTGTATTAAATTAATATTTATCTAAAATCTATATTTTGAGATGGGTATAAAAACGCGAGGTTGAAGATGCGCGATTTCTGAACTGCACTCCCGCTAAAACTCCGCTTATTTTACAAACTTGCGACGTCGCTTAAATTATATCGCGCCATACTTTCGGCGCCTTTTATGAGAGTCAAAACTTTCATGGTGATTTCCTGGTGTTCCTTCGTCGCGTGGAGGAAATCGCCGCTGCCAAATGGACCGTCGATGTAAGCCTCATCGTTTGGATGCGGCGGTGATTCTCCGCGAGAAATGCCTCCGTTGGCGAACGGAGATTGGCTCGCGTTCTGCCAGCTCCTCGTGCTTCTTTTTTTGTCCTTCTCTGCTCCCCCTCCCTCCCTCTCTCTCTCTCTCTCTCTCTCTCTCTCGCCTCTCCCTCTACTTTATTTGCGCATATAAATAGCGCGGTCCAAAATTACCGGGTACTTCGGCGAACGGTGCCGCGAAAGTGGCGTCCAAGAAAAGGCCGGCGATTTCTGCTAGTTATAAAAATATACGCAAGAACGACGTGGACGCCCGGTTGGCGACGCGCATTCTTCAACGGGATACCATGAGGGATACGATGAGAGCAACTATGTAAATGAAAAAACGCAGAGAATGTAGAATTATTCATAGAGATCTTAAGCTTCTACGAACTGATGTCAATTGTCAATCAATATGCAAAAACTAGTGGTTATGCAAAAGGAGTGAAACTTGTTTTTTTTTTCTTATAGAAAATAATCCGTTCCTTAAATAGAAACGGGTCGTCATGTATTAAAATGTGATAAATTTTTTTGAAAACCAAAATATATTAAATCTTTTGTGAAATTGTTTGAACGGCTATTGTTGAATATTTTTATTTTAATAATATCGATCAGTATGGGTTGCATTTATTGATCACGAAACTTGTTGCTTTAAAAAATGCTAATACCGACTAAAACGTACAATAAAATTGAATTTCTTATAATCAACGATTGTATTCTTGAGGACGATGACAGTTACGTTTTTACTGAGAATTGCGACTTTTGCAAATGTTCATTACTCGACGGTGAACTCAATCAAAAATTTAAAACATACGCGGGGGAGAGAGAAGAGAGATATATATCCGCTTTGAATAATTTATACGTTATATTAATGACGATATGTTGTAGAAAATTTTTCAAAAATTAAAATGTATATTGTATATGTATCAATTTTAAAAATTATTTTAAAAAATTCTGAAGTTCTGAATCTTCAGTAATGTTTAATGTCTTGTAACTTGAGTGGATATCAGGCAAAGTGATTTTAGTAATTGTGTATAATTATACTATTATATACTAACTTGAATATTTTATAGAATAAATACGAATTAATTTCAAAATATCTTGATGCAGTTGCGATACATGCTGATCATATCGGATGAACGACTGTATCGAATTCAAAGTGTGACGAAAAAAGTTGACCGAATGTGACAGCTTGAAGATTCTATTGATCTATATACGTCAATCGAGTGCATAATATTGCATCGAGAAGAAGAGGCAAATATGCTGAGAGATTACGATTCTAAATAATTCCACGCTAAATAATTCGCCGTCGAGCAGTGGCGCCGGTGGGCAAACACGGAAGACTTCGGTCGCTTATACATGAAAATGCAGGCGCAGAGAAGTCTCGCTCGTTCACGTAAACGAATCTGAACTGTTGAACCCGTCCTCAACTTCCGCTTTCGCAACGTCGCATTGCTGTATAATTCCGCGGGGACGACCTGTCGCGCCTTGAATATTGAACACGCGGATAATTGCGTTTGAATCAATTTCCGTTTAAAACGTTACGATATTTTATTAAATGACATTAATATATTAATATCGTTTAATTAATTTAACGATATTAAATTTAATTTATATATCGGAAATATGTAGAATTTTACCAGAATTAAAAAAAGCACTATTTATAAAATGCAACGATTTGTCAATGCTTTATATAACTATTATATATTAAATTCTATGGTTATCTAGCGGGAAATTGAAACTATATTTTGTGATATGTACATGCTATGTGCTAAAAGAACCAACATAATCTTACAAGGGATTTTCTAAAATAATGCATATTTAAAAGCGTGTTCTTGCCATCCATTAGAGCGGAATCTATATTAATAGAATTGCCGTACCGCAAGATGCGTAATCGAATTTCCTAATTGAATTATTTACGAAATTCTTATGTGATAAGAATCGCCGGTATTTTTCCCGTATCATTTTAGCTACGGCTCGGCTATTTCTCCGCTGCGGAGAAAAATATCTATTGACAGATTATTATTAGCGATTATTCACGGCCAAGTATTTTCCCGATCGCGAAAGTGTGCTGCGAAATATCTGCCAGTTTCCTTGTGCAAGATACATAATAAAAATTATATGTATAAATTGTATTTGTTGTATTTTTACATCGCTTTCCAATATATGTATGATTGGAGTAAAAATGTTATATTTTTATCTTGAGCTTATGAAAGATATTGATGAAATTAATTAATACGAAACTAAATACGCTGTCACCTAGAGCATGATGTATGGAAATAGAATGTACCACCGCGCCATCGGATATAAATATATCCAATATAATGTGTGCTATATTTTTGCTTTATTAAGTATTGATAATGCTGGATTTTCGAGAAAATTAAAATTAATTGAAAATTAAGAGATTAAAAATGCTGAATAAATATGTTTTTCTAGTCAAAACCACGTAGCATGCACATACATTATTTGTATAAAAATCTGTTTTTTCTTTTACTTATACATACATATATATATATATATATATATATATATATATATATAAAGTGTAACATACACACATATACACGATATATGATTTTATGCAATTACAGATTATGGTAATGAGATATTGATATGATAGGCAACGTTTAAAAATCGAGACAGCAATTTTTTAATGTAACTTTAACGTAATGTTGCGTAATGTGATATCTCGATCGTGATTCGACGCAATTATTCGTAACAAATCAATTCACTTTTGTGCGTCACGTAATCGATGGTTCTACGTAATCGACGGAACATAATAGAGTGCATACCAAGCGACTCAGTATTTTCTTATCTCACCGAGAGTGCATTAACGCCTGTATATGTATTTACGGAAACGTCATAAGGCAATTGACACGGTGGACTAGAATTTTCCAATCAGCGTCATCGTGATACTTCGCTTGGCGCGACCTCGAGCATTTTCCTTATGTATCGTCGTCGCGCGCATGTCACTCGAACGAATCCGCCGTCATTGTCAATTCGACGCGTCATTAGTGTCGTTATGTAAGAACACTTTGCGTCACGTAATCAAAAATTTATTCGGTGCCAATTACTTCGGGGGCTTTTCACACTTGTTATTTCTCAATATCACGGTATCCTATCACGATAGAGATAATCGATGATTAAAAACGGATTAATCGGCGCCACGCGCGTCTGCTTCACAGAATAGTCTCTACGATTCGCGCAGAGTATTGAGAATCCTTCATGAATCACCTCCCTCCCTCGACATGGAACATCGTGTACGACATCCGTTCTCGCATCTGAGTCACCTGAGAGCCCACCCGTTCCACGCCGCGCATGATCTAGCCTTCTCTTTTTCACTCCGCACCTTTTCTTCCAACTCCGGCAGTCGGCAGTGATTAAAAGTATCTGGTGCTGCGCTGTTTGCAGAGACCCATACTGTGGCGATGACAGACCCACAGCTGACCAATAACAATAACAACAACAATAACAACAACAACAACAATGATGGCGAGCCAAAGTACCTGCACAAGAAGTTCAAGAAGATGGCGACGACTGAAGTTGCGCCGAAAGTCGTCGAGAAGGAGGGCACGGCAAACAACGTCGACTCTGACGAGACATCCAAGCGAAAAGATGATGACAGGGATGGCAAGGAGTCGTCGAAGGAACTTGGCAACAAACTCGAACCTTCCCCGGAGCCGGCAGGGGGAGTCGAGCCTACCGCCGAGTCCCGGAAGAGCGGTTATGCATGCCCCTACTGCCCGATGACATGGACCAAGCCGAGTGTCCTTCAAAAGCACATCAGGGCGCACACGAACGAACGGCCGTATCCATGCGTGCCCTGCGGAATCTCCTTCAAGACCAAATCGAATCTGTACAAGCACTGCAGGTCGCGCTCTCATGCGCACAAGATGGAGAAAGGAGAAAAGGTAGTCTATTAAAATTGAATTAATAAAATGTAAATTATTTAGCTATTTTGAGAAAGATAAAATCTTATAATATTACAAAGAAAAATTAAATAATACAATTATCGATTAAGATTTAGAATTACAGATCTAAAGTTTAATCTTTAATAAGGTGTTTGCTATTTTTTTCGTTTAATAAATAGCAATTTAATTTATCAATTAGGCAGTTCAATGCTATAAGTTTCGAAGTTTAATTGTTATACGACACGCATTTTATTACGATTTCCTGCAGGTGTCCGAAGATTCCGACATAAGTTTGTCGGATAGCGCCAGTAACGGCACTGGTACACCACCGCCGCCGCCAACTTCAACGCCAACCACGACGGCAACGACGACGGTACCCACTACTGTAGTAAAGACCGTGAAAACCGGCAAGATTTACAAGCCAAAGTTTCAAGCCCGAACGGCCCTGCAGTGCGTGAACAGTGACACCGAAACGTCTTCCTTATCACCCAGTTCTTCTAACAGTTCCTCCTTGTCTTCCTCCACAACCATCTCCACTTCCAACTCTGTTAAACCGAACGCGGAACAGCTACAGGAGCACATCGACAAGATCATCACAGACAATCAGGCGATCGTCGACGCAGTGGATCCATGTCTGCACAAACTAATGCATCGCCAACAGAGTCTAGTCGAGACAAAGCAGTCATTCGAACAGCAGCCGTTGAACTTGTCTTCCGCGGAGGAGACCTTGAACAACAGAAAGCGTTGCTATAGCGATAGTTGTACTCAGGAAGCGAAAGACAGTGAGCTTCCGGAAAGCTCGATCATCAAAGATCTCCTCTTGAAATCTCGCGATTCTATGAACGGCCCGGTACCGGAGACTGTCGTGGAAAATTTCGTCTGTCCCACTTGCAACATCCCTTATAACAACATAGACAACTTAGAGGCTCATCAAATGTACTACTGTAAAGGTATTGACAGTTGTCGAAAAGGAGCAGATTATCATACGGACTTAGAGAAACGAGATTCTGATTTCGATGTGAAATCTGCCGATTATTACAGTACCTTGCAACCGTTACCCTCTCCGGGTCCTCTACTGGGTAATACTAGACTGGTTGACGCATACGCTCCACCTGCCAAGAAGCAAAGAACAGAATCTGTGCCGACCAGTTTGAGATCGCTGGAGGAGCTAAGCAAGTATCCGCGTCCAAACTCGTTGCAGATGTTCGGCGGTGAGGTGAGGATCCTCGACAATACGGGCGAGGTGACGAAAACGATGAGAATCGAGCCACGACAGACGAATTCGCCCACGAACGAGCACATAGTAAATAGTAAGTGCATGAACTCGGAGACGGCATCTATAGTGGTGAAATCGGGACTTCATTCTGGTGGTACCATGATGCATAAACCGCCAGGCACAACGGCCAGCACATCCAATTCCTCCATATCTTTGCCCAACGCACCGAAGATATTGGCGCCCATCATACCGAACATATCAACTCCGAATATAGCGCCTACTATGTCCTGCTATGACTACTTAGAGTCACACCTCAACCCGCTGACGAGTATCACTGCCTACAATCCGTTAACTCTGCCGCAAGCTGGTATCACGAGTATCCTCCATGGTGGAAAGGTGATACCTTATGTACCCGGTATGCCCGGACCACATACTCTTACCGGTACGCCGACCATAGACATATCTCCGAGTATAACGGCCGGCGAAGCTGGTTACAAAGTGATACCGGGCCTACCGGGTCTACACATGATATCTCAGCCCTTGGATCTGGCTAGTCCGGTGAAGGTACAGCCCAGCACGGTGCCTGGCATGCCCAGTCCGTTATCTGGACATGTTCCTTCCATGCTAGATCAGCCTCTGGATTTGGCTAGTCCGGCGAAGGAGTCGATGAAGATTAGCTTCAAGACACCTAACGGCGACAGTCTGAAGAGCGGCTTGACCAGTCCCAAAGTTCCTAGCGTCAAGGTCGAGACCTCGACAGACAAGTATCGCACGAGAATGCCGTCAACTCTCATCGGCGGAGAGACCGGCAAAGCGGAGCTCGATCGTCATATCAAAAATAATACGGCCGTAAAGTACAAGGGTATGGAGAGCCCGCGAGAGAGAAAGGATTTTACGTATGATAAGAGTCCGAAGTTGGACAAGGCTTTTAGTTATCCAAACGGCGTGGATCCTACGATTTCTTCGAATTCCTACAGCAAGATGAGGTACTCGCCCAAGACTACTTCGGAAAGCAGGAAGAGATCGAATTGGGGCGTCAGTGAAGTGGATGCTGGCAGAGCAACTCCGGTCGATATCCACACTACAATCTCTAAGTACGATCTACCTGCTCACGAGAACGGTCGATTAAAAAGTAGTGTCTCTTCGGATGCACGTGGATGGATCAAGGTCGCGGACGGATACGGCGCATTCAACGGCGCTAAAATGAAGGCCGACAACGCGTCATCGGTGATACTTGTGAACTTAGATTCTTCCAAGACAGAAGTGCCAACGAAAACTTCCGTAGAATTAATTGTTAAGGACAAGCAACCCGAGGCCAAATCGCCGAAGAGCGGCGACGTCGTTAAAGAAACAACTAATACTAATAAGTTCTTGAGACCCACGTCTCTGCCGTTGAAACCCGGCACGTTTACGCCGAAGAAGCATCACGGAATCACGCCTACGGCGAACACACTTCCTCTCATCAGTCCGGAGACTCCGCGACCCAAGAAATCGTACGGACAGCTATATCTAAATGGGCATGCTTACACATATCTGGGACTCAAGTGTTCCACCAGGGTGTTTTATTGTACCCTGAATCGACCGCAGCCAATGTATGTTACGCAGCAGCATGGTCTGTCGATGTATTCCAATTGGAAGATATGTAAGGAGGCACCACCAGACGTGGACATGGCGCATTATGACTCTCGGCACAGACCTCTCAATTACACGACCGCGTGGAAGAAACAAGAGGATATTCTAACACACTCCTCGCAAAGACCAATCACTCCCACCAGTCCGGACAGCGGATTGGAGAGTGACATGCACGAAAAAACGAAGAGAGTAAAGATATTTGATGGAGGTTTTGAGAGTAACGAAGATTACACTTATGTGCGCGGAAGAGGTGAGAAATGTTTAATTAATATATTCAGTATTGCATTTTTCAAAATAAAACAACATTTATGCAGTCTAAAAATTTTCTTAATAATCTTATTCTAAAATCTTCATGTGATATAGTTATAGGTACTATTTTCTATTAATATAATTTATAATTTCAATTTTTATTAATAAGATTTTTAGAATTGTAATCTTAATATTGTAGAAATAAATCTTTAATTATTTTGTGTATTATGTAAGGTCGAGGACGCTACGTCTGCGAAGAATGCGGTATTCGTTGTAAAAAACCATCTATGCTGAAGAAACATATCAGAACGCACACGGATGTTAGGCCATATACTTGCAAGCATTGTACCTTTAGGTAAGTTGTGATTCTCTCACATAGCACAGCAAGAAAGTATTGTATTTCTAATTTCTTAATTTACGGACTAATCTTAATAATTTATCTATATAAAATTATAATTGTTTTTGCGACAGTTTCAAAACAAAGGGTAATCTCACGAAACACATGAAGTCCAAGGCTCACTACAAGAAGTGCGTGGAATTGGGCGTAGTGCCAGTCCCTACAACCGTCTGCGATGAAAACATCGACAAGGAGGCTATCGCGCGATTAACCGCTGGTGGCGGTAACCCGGAGGATTCCTCAGAGGAGGAGGATGAAAGTGACGGAGATGAAAGCGAAGAGTCGGGTAGCGAGGAGCAAGAAGCAGCACAAAGTTTACTCAGTCTTTCGCAACGTAACATGTCGAACAGCTTGCCGGGCTTGTTACCGTCTGGTAGACCCACAACGTATCCATATAACCTAACTTTACCGACGACTTCCTCGGTGAGCATCGCGTCTACCACTGCGACTACATCGACCATCAGCCAAAGCGTCACCGCACAAGAAACAACTCTGATTCAAAATGAATTATCGCATCGTTACTATTTCCCATCGAATCGAAGTACGACAGAAGAAACGAGAATTAGCGTTATTCAGTCGTCGAAGAAAGATGATTCTGACTTCGAGATCGAAGAAATCACTGATGTCACGGAGTCACGTCATCAGCTGTCGCAGCCCATGGATCTCACGACGAAGCAGACTACTCAGGTGCTGCCCTCGCCGGTCCCGCAAAGGGCTAGACCCGCGGACATTCTGACACCCGTTTCGGAGCCGGTCCTATTGCAGACGATAGTCCAGACGATGGAACGGCTGCCTATACAGGGTAGAGAATGGAAACCGGATGCGGAGGGCCACATGTTGCAGGCCTACCTCACGGAGAGACATGTGATGGACAGCAAAATTAAACAACAGTATCGCGTGGGAAATAGCAAGGACAATAAGCAGTTACAGGAAAAAGATATTTATCCGCGTCATCAAGACCAGAACAGGTCTAGGTATATAGATTCTAACGGTATTCCGACGGTAACGTATACCGATCCCAGCAAGATGCAGCATATCGTTATGGAGTCTAGAGTTAAACACATGACGAAGCATACCAGTGATGACATTAAGATGGAAATCAGAGAGAAGATATATCAGAACAACATGACGATAGAGAGACGAACGTTCGATTATGAGGCTATTCACAAGAATAAAGAGCAGACTAATCGTATGGTTTCTGATCGTGAAAATTTTGAGCTTGGTCTAACTAACGGTCCCGCTAGCACAAGACCAAGTATCGAGTATGGTCTATCCATGACCAGGAACAATAGTTCGATCGAGAGACCGAACTGTTCTATTGTACCTGTTCGCAGCACGTCCAGTATTGATTGCCATTCACCGAAATCTTTGAATATAGACGTCAATAACCGACCGCCGTTGATGCAACACATGAACAACGACATTGACAGAAGTTCCATGTTCAACGCGATGAAGATGGTGAGTGAAATAGAAAGACCTAGGGAATGTCATCCCGTCGGTCAGGAAATGAGATCTGTGAATCACGAGATGAGAACCGCGACTAATGATGTTCGAATGCAGAATCATAGTCCGCGGAATTTCGACCTAAGACCGCCCAGTAGAGAGATCAGAACACCCGGTCAAGAGTACAGAGCGCAGAGTCAAGAGTTAAGGCTACCGAGTCAACAGGAGTACAAGATACGCGGCCAAGAGATGAGACCACCTAGCCGCGAGTACAAGCCGTCGTTCGCTCATGACATGCAAGTCATTCAGGAGCTTATGCCCTCGACAAACATGGAAATCCGGCAAACAAATCTGGATAATAGACCGCCGAGCCGTGACATGAGAGCTCTTGCGGAATACAGAGCGCATGCGCAAGATCCACGTGCCAACTATGAAATGTTGCAGCCTATACACGAGCCGCCCAAGTCTCAAAACATAGATGCGAGAAGCACGTCACCGCAGAAAGTACGAATCCTCTATTACGATACGAAACACCCTGTGGACATAGCTAAACAGAATACATTAGATAGCATGAAACACGCTGGAAAGATAGTCGTCGGTGGGCCAGATTTTCAATCGCCGTCACCAAACACAGGAAATGCGAAACCGCAAGCGGAATTTTTACAACCGTCAAGTGGACCCGCGCCTAACTATGTGAGGTAAGGAAAAATATTTTGAGAGATTGCAAGTAATCAGTAGAAAAAAAATGTTTAGACTCGCGTACTTATGAAAGTCGTATTTTAATCGCGTCGCTTTAATTACACATGTGTATTATATCCGTCAATGTCACCGACTCAGCGCTCCTTGGATCCGGCTGCCTCTTATTTTAGATCTTTGTTTTTCATTTTATTTTATGATATTTTCTTCAGAAGAACATTTTTAATTTGAATTGAAACTGCCTATTATTTATTAACTATTGGCTAATTATGTTAACTAATTCTTGCTCAGTTATTCATACCAACAAAAATATTAGTATAGATGCAGCAATAGATGCAGAAGCGAGAGGAAGTTTATTTATGATCTTGACTTATAAAAAGTTTATGTGAAGACAAAAAAAATATTGATGTTATTTTGCTAGCCGATCCATGGGCGCCATGAGTAATTCGTATACAATATATGTACTTCGTGTGATTGACGTGTAAGTGTTTTCGTCTAAAATAAATGTGTCGAAAATATTTAATATGTGTCTGACGCGAGCGTTGTGGCTATATAATCGCCACAATATTTTTAATTATCTTTTCGATATGTGTTATTCGTTGACACATGATGCATATAATAATAGTATTATTTGATATTGCATTATTATATATATATATATACATATTAAGATATTTTAATATGTATATAAAGGATCTAAATTTTATTTATTAAAATTATCAAAATAATTTTAGTTGTAAAACATGCATATAATAATAGTATTATTTGATATTGCATTATTATATATATATATATTATTATATATATATACATATTAAGGTATTTTAATATGTATATAAAGGATCTAAATTTTATTTATTAAAATTATCAAAATTTTAGTTGTAAAACAAATGGAATATTATGATTGCAGTGTCACGGAGGATGGCAGGAGTGTATGTGGGATTTGCAATAAGGTGTTCAGTAAGCCTAGTCAGTTACGGTTGCATCTCAACATTCATTATTTTGAGCGGCCATACAAATGCGAAAATTGTGCAGTTTCCTTCCGGACTAAAGGTCACTTGACGAAACACGAAAGATCCGTTTCCCACCACAATAAGGTAAGCGTCGAATCAACTTTACTTTTCTACCGAGCAACGTTACATTTTTCAGCACGAGTGTACGAATTAATTATTGTATTATTAGGTCAGTATGACTTCTACGTTTGGTGCGGCGACTACCAGCAATCCCAGGCCTTTCAAGTGTACGGATTGTAAGGTAGCGTTTAGAATACATGGACATTTGGCCAAGCATCTTCGCAGCAAGATGCATATCATGAAGTTAGAATGCTTGGGCAAACTGCCGTTTGGAACGTATGCGGAAATGGAAAGGTCTGGCGTCAACTTGAATGATATCGATACTACGGACTGTGATAATAGTCTTAATAGTCTGCAGGTTGGTACCTACAAATCATAATTTCGTAAAGTTATAAAATTGTAAAATTGTACTTACAAATCATAATTGCGCGCAATTTTTAAATCCGATAAAGGAAACGTCGCGATAAAATGAAATTTTTCATTTGTCATTTTCGACAGATATTGGCTCAAAGATTAGGCGAGAAGGATCCGGCGAAGATCGCGCAATGGGACTCGGAAACTCTGCCCGGACCGGTCGTTAGCGGTAGCGAGACTTCGTCGGACGAGGGCGAGCCTATACCGCAGCACGCACTTCACGCGCAATACGTGAAAGCGACAACGGACGCGGACATCCCCCGACCATATCACATGTCGATCATTCCCGAGAAACCGAAAGCCATTAACGACGTTCATCTCCGCGGCCCTCAGTTCAATCAACAGAGACGTGATTACGCCGTTAAAGAGCAGCCGTTAAGATCGATTTCGGCGGGCATTTCAACGGAAGATCCACGAGCGGAGGACAGTTTACAATCGTACAAGTGCCAAGTTTGCCCCGTATCTATGCGTACTGTAAATGAGTTACAGGTACACTGTTTTGTTGAACATAATATTGAGACGGATTCTAGTACAAATATTCACGGAGATAGGAGTGCGGGTAAATGTAGCAGGGAAAAAGAGAATACTCAAAAAAGAATTATGGAGGAATCCGCAGTGAAGGAAGATCACAAAAGACAAAGGATAGAGGATACATAGTGCCAAAACAATATAGCGTGCTAAAGAATTTTTCGAGTGGTGTTTGCCATACTACTTAGAGAAATCGCGGTTATAATAATGTATCATATGTGGAATGCATCACAAAGATATCCTAATAAAAAAAGTCTAGATCGTCCTATAAAAAAAAAACTATTTCGATAGATAATACGATTAATGACGTTTATGTTTGAAAAAACTTTTCTTGAAAATTAACGTTGCAAAGATTTAAACAAAGCGTTATTAGAGAGCTGCGTGCAAATACAAATTTATAATTTTACGTTGCCGTTACGAAATGTTTCGTAAATTTCTGAGGACTTTACAAAAAAATTATCCAAGCGTAACAAATGTGGACCTAAAGTAATATCGTGTGAATACTAATGTAACGAAATACATATTAACAGCGGCGTTGAATTACACGGTCTCGATCATATTTCCTCTATTATGGCTCTCAATTTTAAAAAGTGCCTGTTTATATTTTAAACAGACATAATTACTTGTATAGTCCTCAAAAGATTTTTTAAATTCTTTCTCTCGAAACCCGCACGTATAACGCGCAAAGTAAAAAAGAAAAAAATTTAATTCGAGTATCTGATATGATAATATTTATATACAATAGTGTTTCTCGTAGTAAGCATAAGGTGCAATGGACTGGTATGTGATTCTATATTTAAAGCACAAATATGTTACTTTCGACATGTTGAAGAGTATTCTAATATTACAAATTAATATACTTTAAATTGGTATATGAAATTACACACATGCACACACAAGTGCGCGCGCACACACCATAAACACGCACGCATGCACAAAATATGTGTGTATATGTATATACATATATACACACATTATACATGTTATGCACATACATATTTGTATATGTGCATGTCTGTGTGTGTGCGCGCGTGTGTATATATATATACTATATATTTGTACGATATTAGTATGAACAATTATGAGAATTATTGTTGACATAAGAGAAAATGTGTTTGTATATATTTATGTATAATATAATGAGAAATCATGTTAGTTTCTATTGTAGTTTTAAGAAATCAAGAAGCTGTGTCGGTTGCTCAGATTACTTTGTAAATTTAAGCGCTTTTAATTCACACAGTAGATTCTTTAGTTTTCATGTCTCAAAAGATTTTCTTATAAGCAAGAATCAAGTGATGAGTATCTTGATAAGTTTGATTTTATCTGAAATACTGTTAGATATATTTAGTTACCCTCCGTATTTTGATATTATTAGTTATTTTTTAAATCTTAATGGATCATAATTTCTTATGGTCTGAGGGACCGATTCACTGATTCTGTTTAAGATAATTAAGCCTCTTGTTTTCTCGCTGCAGTTCTATTGAATTATGAAAGTGAACAAAAATCATGAATTTTTCTTGCATTATATATTAAATTTATGTGTTTCATTAATCTGCATTTTTTTTTATTGAAAAAGCATGCAAAAAAAATTAATTTTGATTGAAATTAATTGTGAAAAATAGTTTTACACGATTTCTCACTGATGTTAAAAATATGATTGCAGTGAGCAACCTGAAGGGGTTATACACCTTCCACGAGCGACAGCTACCGTATCTTATAATTAATTATCTATCTAATGCTACACGCAGTTTTAATATCTCACTCAAGCACGAGAATGTCTTTCCTACTCCGCATAATCAGACTCCGGTTATCACGGTTTGTACCTAATAGGTGTGCTTGAGCCAAGATAAAAAAAAATAATAATAATAATACGGATAACATAGACGAGACGACCGCAAAGGTATAAATGGAGGTCCAGTCCGAATGATGTTCACACTAAACGATATCAGTGTAGCCGTAGTCTAACATAGCATTTTTTGGATGTATATCTATTGTCTGTAATTCTGTCGAATCCAACGTCCGTTAACCGCGTAACTACGTATGAGCTTCCAGGATGTGCACGCGCGTCGTGTGCACGCACCCCGAGATGCCAAGCCAACAATTTGCGTTTCGATGGGATTTGCCGAGAGGAACGATACCGCCTTTCGGAGTCGGCCTCCGAAGTGGCGATTGTTCACGCGTGTTTCCAAAATTATACACGTATATAACGCACATCTACATATACATATATATATATATTTAAAAAATATGTCTTTCTCTCGGCTACTTGCATGCGTACTTGTATGTGATTTCGAAGGAATGTACTTTTTCCAAATTATGTAGATTCATATTGCGATATATACATATATACCATACATATATATATATATATTTTTTCGAAACGTTGTCGTCCGTAGAAGTATATCACTCGGTATATTTTCCGGCGTACACGTAGCGAGCGTGTCGTAATACATATCAGATTCGCCGTTCTCGTCGATATTAAAAGAGACACGGTGGACGATCGTGCGTCTCGTCGTTCCAAACCCAAGTATATGGTGCAGTACAAGTTAGATTTTACTCACCGGTTCCGTTGCCCCGCCCGCGACGACGGACTCCTCGAGCAGCCTCGAAAACCGCGAACGCCGTGGATCACGCTCGCGGTCGCCGAAGACGCGATTTGCACGCGAAAAACTCGATTGCGACGCGGAAAACCTCGCACTCGCGGGAGTAACGCTCGCGGCGCGGGTGCACATTGAACTGACTGAACGTAGCCGCGATTCGAATCTTCGGAGCGCTAATGAGCGTTCCGAAATTGCGTCACTACAGCGCGTCATTTGAACGGCCACGCGCGCAATTGATTCTCAAACGAATAAATTGCGAAAAACTGAGGAAACCTCCCCTTTCGTTATGAGCAATTACTTTTGCATAATGCGTGATCATTTGATTGAATTTATGCGTTTAAAAAAATCACGTGACATACAAAATGCAGGGGAGATTGATTGATCGGTTTTAAACTTGAGCATCATTTCGCACCAAAATGATCTTTCGATAATTGCTTTTTTTTGCGTATCATTGAATTTTTTCATAAATCGAGAGAGACGATAAATTCATGAACACTTCTAAATGACTCGCGGGAAAATATAATGAGACGCGTTTGATCGTATATAGATCGCTCGCCTGATTTAAGGAGCTAACAGAGGAGCAATTCTAATTACGTTAGACATACGCGCAGTTTAAATTATTGGAAAAGAGTACTACCGGATATACAATATACATATATGATTAATAAATAATTTTCACATCTAAATGTGCTATCGGTGTTTCTCCTGTTTTAAGAATAAAAATCGATCAGTTTTTCGCACTGAACGATCGATATTATTCTCTATCTCTTATCTTCCCACTTCGGAACTAAGATTCGACCGTGTAATTCCACACGAGCGTGCGATTGATCCGTTTCAATTGTGTATTTCGGTATCTTCCTTTACATACACGCATATTATTATATATATATATATATACTGTACAGTCTAATAATAATTCGGGTAAATGTTCGTATGAAGACGACTCGACATACTTCTACAATATTTACGATATTCGGTTAAGTAGTCTGTATTGTGATAAGTGCGGAAAGAACCATTACGGCGAATATCCCGACTAATATCCTAAAGTAAAAGTACAAGCGTATCTGATAAAAAAAAAGGAACAAAGAAAGAAGACATATTTATTTTGTCGAGAGCGCGCATCTCTACGCGCGTCTATGATTTTCACGAAAACGGTTGGCTTGGCTTGGCTTCTTCCAGACTCAGTATTAGATTTCGCGGACAATGAAAAAAAAAGGGAATAGAAAGGAAAGGTCGAGCTTGTACGGGTTTCTAGATGGTTTTTACACCGATTTACATTTTTTACGGAGACAAAAAGAAATCGGCCGCCCTCCGGTCGCCGAAATTCATGCGGTGTCTCCGAAGAAAAGAAAAAAAGACTCTCCGCTCCGCTCCATATCTTTATGGATGATTTAAATTTTGTATACGCGCAGCGTGCGAACGGTGACACTAACAAACACCTGGCGGTATAGTATTTTATATGTATTATAGGATCTTTAAGATTTTATAAATGTTTTTTCGTGAGAGAAAGAGAGAGAGACGGGAGAGGAGAGTATGTTCCCGTCTTCGTGCTCGCACGCAAATACGCCGTGTTGCTCCAGCGAGCTTCGGCTACGTCGACAAAACCGTCTCCAGTTCGAACGACCTCTCGATTGAATACCAACACCGTATATCGGGCGTTCGCGCCCGTATATATGTATATATCAGACAATGGGACCGGAGTGTGAAAAATTTTATAAGCGTATACTTGAGAAAGTGACAACGGGATTTACGGTAAATAACGCCAATGAGTTTTGCCAGTGTCACCGTCATTTCTCTTCCTCTGTGAATTCTGTTGAACTATATATATATTGATGAGAATGTAATTTTTATTTATTGTAAATAAAAGAAGGAACATTGCTTAAAGAATTTTGTATATTATGTAGTGTTTGAATCGATATATACGCACGAAACGGAATCAGTCGATGGAACGTCCATTGGATCCAGAGAGATTATAACGCAAATTGTACGAAGGGAGATTCGTGATAATACGAATGCGTCTTTGTATAGTGATCTCGCAGGAACGATAGTACAACTCTAGGAGCGGAAAATGATATGTGAGACAGGAATAAAGTTAATTTCCGGTAAAATACAGTGTATTGCTTTATTGGAAAAAATTAGATTACCTTTACATAGAAAATAGTCTAATAAATGTAAAGAAAATTAACGCTACACCCCATGCTGCTTTTCATTATCCGCTCGTGTGTTTATCGTGCATCGAACACAACGACTAGAAGCAAGATTAAGGAAAATTTTCTGGAAAATTCGATTTTGATTGACTGTTACATTCAAGAACGTTAATTGCGTTAAATCGCAAATATTAGAAAGGATACGTCTCTTCGTCCGTTTCTTGTACATGATTCTGTATCCGCATTCTCTGCATCGAATTGGATCTTTGGCACGAATCTCGTTATCATGATGACATTCTAAGATAACGAATTTAAAATTTGATTAATGATATAAATTGTGTAAAAGTTCAAAAATAGTTTTTCCTTGCAATTTTATTTTTATTACTACTCGTATCATATTCGAGAAATTCCTCTACTATTTAAAAACCGTTTGAGTATAATTTATCTTTGTGTTTCCAACAATTGATACAGTTTATACAGTGCGAAAGTCTTGAAATTTTATTTCAATTATCACATGTATCATATTCGAGAAATTTCTCTACTTCTTAAAAACCGTTTAAGTATAATTTATCTTTGTTTTTCCAACAATTGATACAGTTTATACAGTGCGAAAGTCTTGAAATTTTATTTCAATTATCACATGTATCATATTCGAGAAATTTCTCTACTTCTTAAAAACCGTTTAAGTATAATTTATCTTTGTTTTTCCAACAATTGATACAGTTTATAAAGTGCGAAAGTCTTAAAATTCTTTAAAAATACGTATAAATATAGTTAATTAAATGAAAATTGGTGAGCATTAATATATCAAAGATTATTATTTACAAAAAAGTGAGGTTAGGAAATGGACATTATAAACATGCAGGTCCTTACCTCCGCAAATGTATACCATAGCCTGTTTCGGAGTAGATTCGGATTTGCTAGATTCCATTTTAATACGACGAATTAAATTAATAAATAATTTTTTTGTTTATCGTCCTTATTGTGGAGTAGAAAAATCGTCAACAATCGTCAATACACCACATAACCAAAAACCAATTCTCTCTAGTCTGTTCTCGTATGATATAGAAGAGCTGAAATTTTATTTTAGTACACATCCCTTTGATAGATGACGCTAGTAGTTGTAAGAGTTACCGGCAACTCGTGTTGCATCAGTCTTCAGAAAAGGCAGATCGATCATGATTAAAATTAGAAATATTATAAGTCCAAATTAATGGCATATGTTATCACGTTTTTTATATGTTTATTATATGAAACGAACGAACTAGGTTATCTGAACGTCGGAATTCTCTCTGCTTCTCCGCTAATTAAAATTAATCTAATTTTTCTTTCTAACTATGTCTCTTTATTTTTATATTAATTGTAAAATTTTTATGTAAAGTGGGAATAATTGGTGTCTTTGGCCGTTCGAGCTACATCGTTCAAAACACCGCGCGACGCGCGATGAATTCGGGAGGGCGAGCGAGAGCACAAAATCTCCCCGGCAACAAAAGCTCCAAGCGCGCTTTCCAGCATCCGGCGCGGGCACGGCTCGGCCAATTGCGCCCCGCTTGGCAACGAACGGCGGGACGGAGCGGCGCACGCGATTCGTCGGTCGACGCGTGTGGCGACGTATGGTGGGGGTGCGAGAGGGGCATCGGCGAGAACGGGACGGAATTTACGAACGCGCGGCGTTCAATGTGTCGGTGGAACGTTGGAGCGTGTGGGTACGAGCGAAGGGAGAACGCTAGGCGAGTGCGTGCGCATGTTTCCCCTAAAGCCGCGCGCACCCTCGAGCGCCGCTCAGCGATAATTGGCCGGAGGGTGCACACGATGTATGGTAGTTGGTACGCGATGCCGAGAGAGGATCAGTCGTCGTGGTTCGGTCGTAGTAATTGTGCGAGGTGTTGTCGAAGTCGCGGAATTATGTGCGCGAGAAAATCGTGAAGCCCGGTGGTGAAAGGGGTCGGAGCGAGCTGTGGCCTCTTGTTTACGGAGCGCGCCATGCGGGAGGGGTGACCTTTCTCCATGCGCGACATGCGCCCGTGATCGCCGCGGTTGGAGAGCGCCACAGAAGGGGTGAGTGTAAGAGCAGAGAGAAGCTTCTCTCTGGTAAGAGAGAGAGAGGGAAGGAAGGGAAAGTGGCGCCGGGCGGACATGAGGAGCGCGCGCGTTTTCCGCGCGTCGCACACGTGAGTACACAGTGCGAAGGCCGAAGCGACGCGAGTGACAAGTACGCGAGTCGCGAGCGGGGATTGAACACGGTCAGGTGCCGACGTGCGACCGGACGGGACGGGACTTCACTCTCGCCGAACTTCACGACGTAGATCGGCACGTCGGGAACGCGATTTCGGGAAAACTGCGTGCGCCGCGGAGTGACCTTCGTGCGATCTGACGCGGGTGAGAAAGTTTTCTAACGGGACGACGAATCGCCAAACGCTCTTCGTCCTTTTCTCCCGAGTGGCGTAATTGGATGTCCCTTTCTTCCGAGTGACGTAGATGGTTTGCGAGCGATGTGGATCGGAATGTCGGGAAAATTCGAAACAGAATTTTTGCGCCGCCGAGTGGCCTGCTGCTCGATCTCTCGGTGAGATCGCGTCGAAGCGTCGACCGATTCTTACACATTCGAGTTTTAACGAGAATTCAACACCGACAGGTTAAGATTTTGAGAATCCGTAAATATCTGCCTGCCCTCGGTGGACAAACAGAAGCCTTTGGTTATCTTATTTTCGCAGAAAAGCAGGTAGGCGAATAGTAAAGTGTACAGTAAAGTGAACCACATAGAAAAAGATCGTGAAAGTTAATAGACAAAGGTAACGTCGCCTCTATGTGCCGATGAACCTCGTATAAATAGACTATAGAGTGACGCTTAAAACGTAATGCTCGGTTGATTCACGGGATACGAGAGACACGACGAAGCCTGCAGTTTCGCTATTCGATGGCGACGCGCATATCGCTCGGTGTGTCGCTTCGAGTGCATCGGTCACGTCCAACGGAAGGTGAAGTGATCCGCGCCGAAAGTCCAAGCGTACGGAATTTCGTCAGCCAAATGAACGACGCCGTTCTGAGCATGATGGAGGACGTCGACAGCATGCACGTCGTCAAGACGCCGTGCGTCTCCGTCAACAGCAGCTCCCACGACAGCGTCGACAGCGGCTACTTGTCCATCGTGACGCCGCAGACCAGCGGCTGCACCCCGAAGGTGGCGGCTTACCGAACGCGCTCGTCCACCGGCGCCTTGTACTCCGCCAAGAAGCACCGGTATCGCCCGGATCCCTTTCAGTACGAGAAGGTGCGACACCGCTCCAAGTTCAGCCATCGGCTGAACACGTCGGGGTACGATTGTGTCGCGTCCGAGCAAGACTCGGTGCTGGAACCGTCGTGCCCGCACGTCGACCAGAGCCTCAGCCTGGTGCACTCCACCCCGAGCTGCGCCGACAATGAGGCGCTCGACAAGGCACTCGGAAGCAGGAGGAACTGGAGGACCACGGTGCCCGTCACCCCCGCGTCCGCGGACTACGAAATTCTCTCGCCGCCCCTGTCGCCGGCGGTGCCCTCCTCGTCCTACGTCGCCTCGGAGCCCGTCCCGCAGGATGCGGAAATGAAGCTAGTCTGTACTCCGCGGGATAGATCGAAGCGGGTCACGACGCCGCCGAAACTAAAAATCTTGATACCACGGATCGTGATCTCGCCGATTGACGCGCGAAGCAGCCCCGTCGTAAGGTCGGCTAATCGCAAATTGCGCGACCTGCGCATCTCGGACTTGGCCGCCACGTCCGAGATCAAGCCCAAGAAGCTGGACTTCAGCCATCGCGGCCTGTGCGGGTCGCAGCAGAATAGCAGAAGAGCCACGTTGGACTACACGGGAAGGGAAAAGGTTGACTTCTTGTCACTCCTCGGGGAAGAGAGCAACCATTTGAATCTGGTGTCAAAAATCCTGTCTTTTCTCCCGCCGCAAGATCTGTGCTCGGCCAGTATGGTGTCCAAAGTGTGGAAAAAAATTTGCAAAAGCGACCATTGCGCCAACAGGCGAAGAATGAGTTTCATCATGCGTAAGCACACCATCAAGGAAAACTTGTGGCTGCTGGCGATGGCGAAGAAGGCCAAGTGCGAAGAGGATATACAGACGAGTCCCAAGAGCAGACGTTACGCTCGGAAAGGATACCTGTTGGATGTGCAGAACTTCATGCATGCTCCAGTACAGCCAAACAGCCCGCCTGTATCACCGAGCAAAATCAAATTTCATTCCTTTGTCAAGGTGAGTCAGTTAATTTCTTGTGGCATATGTTTGAGAGTATATTACGATTAAAGGCGACAAATCATGATTAATTTTTCTACTATAATTATCTACTATAATACTAAATATTTTAATAGAATTTTTATTCTCGTTTCAAAGATACATATAGCTTCGTATACGAATAGATTCGTATATATCGATATATATATATATATATATATATATATATATATATATTCAAACATTTGAACGTTAGAAATTACGATGTAACTTAATTTGAAAGATTTCGAATTAACAAGTCATGTTAGCGGTAGAAACGCACTCGTGAGAAAACTCACGGCAAAGTCAATGACTGACGCGAAATGTCGCGGCTTCAAAGAACCGTGTAATGCTACATTTCTTAGGATTCTCGTATTCGACACCCGCGGGAAGTCGGTAAAGCATGTTGCATTTCACATGTTACACGGGAGTCGTGTTCATTGCGTTTATCTCGTAACAGCTCCAGATAATTCGGCGTCGGTGTCCAACGAGACACGCTCATTTCTTTGACGCGATACATATCTCTCGTCCTAATGGAATAATGATAATCCACAATGGCCCGAGATATGCGAAAAGAAAAACGATTGTGTTTCGAGGATTGCATATATAGCCAATTCTTGACAGCATTACGTTAGCAGTTTTTGATCTACAGTATACCGGCAGTGTATTTGTATTCGCTAATTTGAATGTGATTATCTCTTGATTTATTGAAAGTGGACACAAATGCTTTTGACATTTATATATTTTGAGAGTAACATATTTACTTTTTTATCTAAAAAACCTAGCTTCTAGCTAAAACTTATAAAGATATTAAGAAAAGAACATTAAGAATTTTTATCAATTTTCTTAATTATTTTTACATTCTCAATATATTTTGTGTACATACATCGATCAATAATATAATATTATAATCATGAAAAAATTACATAACAATTGTTTAATTACTTAATTGAATCGTATTACAATTTAATGCGCAATAACTATTACGTCCAATGGGACGGCGCACGGAAATGTAATAAGAAGCACTTGTGCGGAAATGATAGCATAATATGCCATAGAATATTAATAAATGTTACATAAAGTTGGAGAATGTACTACGTTTTTCTTCGGCTGACTTGATGTAATTCAATGTCATAGTTATTGCGCATAAAATTGTAATACGATTTAATTATTAAGCAATTCTTCACAATTATTAATCTGATTTTCACATTATGTTTTTACAAAACACATTAATGTTTCGTTGCATTATATATTTAAAATCAAGCAGGCATAATGCACGGTATTTTAATCATGGCAACGAATACAGTCCTATATGTTATGCGTTACTTTCGTCGCAGTACACATAATTAATTAATAATCAATCGTCAATCGTTCTGCATAGAGCACACGGCGTGTTGTGCCATCTGAATGTAGCTTTGCACATTGAGTCAGACATGTCGAAACCCGGTAATTAAGGATGCTGGATCGTTTCTCTTCGTTCATAGTCGACTGTTCTTCGTCGTTTTGGCGCTCGTAATTCTCGCGAGAGCAGACACACGACGGCTAATTATCAGCCAGCGATAATCGATAGCCCGGTAATCTTTAGGATTTCCTCGACTAAATTGGCATTCGCATAGTTCGCGCGCACAAAATCGAATCGCGGTCGGGTAATTGTTTCGATTGTGAGATCATTACTTTGACGTTGATTTATCGTCATTTCGGCTTTGAGCCGCCGCGAAGGATAATTGCTTCGTGGGTCGTTAGGCTCCAGATAAGCGAGGCCCGTCGACGGTGTGCAGAATTTGACGGATGTTTCTCAATGATGAGATTCTGCGTGCTTTGCATAATTTCATCTCGTAGCAATTGAAATCCGCGTATCGCGATATTCGCATAATAATTATATTTTGGCGCAGCCGGAAATCGTCGTTGCGTTTAACATAGACACGTTACTTATATATTGTATAATCTTATCGTATACTGATTAAAAAATTAAATAATACAATATAAAATTCTTAAAGACTTACTTAATGTAGTGGACAATAAACTTAAAAAATTCTTTTTTAAGTAAACAAAAAATGTATATATTATATCAAGCGATATTCTTTATGATATATACATTACGTATTAATATTGAAGAAGTTATTAAATGTGTACGACAACATAAACGGTTCCTTCGTATTCTGCATCCTTAGAATTTTCTCGTAAAATATGAATAATTCACGAGAAATTACGACAAGTGCTCCAACTTTATGTAACATTTATCAATATTCCGCGGCATATTGTGCAGTCGTTTTCGCACAAATGCTTCTATTACATTCCCGTGCGCGGCCCCGCTGGACGTCCATAAAGCGCGAGGGCGAACTTCGAGCCAAAGCGGCGAAGCAAACGCGATGATTTACTCGCGGAAATCAGTCAGACGACGGCGTGAAGAATCGGTGACAGTGATGTACGTGCTTTCTCGTTCCCGTCGTCGGTGGGACTACCTGCCGTCTCCCCTCGACACTGCTGCTCTCTCGTTCTTGCTTGCTCTCTTTCTCTCTCTCTCTCTCTCTCTCTCTCTCTCTCTCTCTTGTCGAACAAGCGACGCATTCCTTCTCGCGTTAGATTGTAATAGCGAATGCAAGTGGCATACCTCGAGATCTTTTGTTGCGCGCGCGAAACGATAGCGAGGTCTGTATTCGCGCTCGTGTCAAAGCTAATGCCGACCACACATCCGCATTGCCATTCTTTATCACACGAGCCAATGCGACGGTGAAACGATGCATTGTCGATTTGCCTGTGTATGGCATCCCGCTTGCGAGATAATAAATGGCGAAAGCTCGTTGCCGAACGAACATTAAGATGAGCGTGGTAGGTATCAAAACATCGTAAGATTTCATCGTAAAATTAAGTTCCGCGAGATTTCACATCATCAATCTTTCATGGACTACTTTAAAAGCGATATAAAAGCATTTTGTCGAATTTGCATTTGAAATCTTTCTCAAATTTAATGGACTATCGATGGCTGAAACTGTAAATGATTTATTTTATTTTCTTGTTGTGGTTTTAGAGAAGTTAAGTAATTTCTCTAACAATGAGAGAGAAAGAAATGTTGATGATTGAATTTTTAAGAGATCGCGCGGGAGAACGGCGAAATAAAATTGCGACGTGAAAGACGGTTGGATCGTAAATTTCGATCGCGGCGCATTGTAAAGAAAAATCGACGTTAACGTTCGCGAACGAATGTATGCAACGTAGTATTTTAGTGCTCTCTACCAAAATCGAGTTCTGGCGAACGATATATCAGAGCGACGTCCCCGTCTCTCCTCTTGCACATTCAGAGAGAACCGTGCCAGTGCTCGTTTCTTCTTTGAATCGCGAATCGGCCTGCGGCAAAAACCGGCCACAGAGAGAACAATGCGAATATATTATGGTATCTGACACTAAAACAAAGGGCGGGCCTGCAGAGCCCTTTAAGTCTTTTACGACAGTTGTGCGAGAATGCCGAACTGCAAGCGTGCAATGCGGATAAAAAGATGAGAAGCACGTCTTAACCGCGAAGTTTAAAGAACTATCATGCTATTCATAGAAAGATAATACCTAATATTAATGTTTATATCACCTGAATGTAGTGCCATTAAATTTGAAGTTTTATATAGAATACAACTTTATATTTTTGTCAATCTTTTTTATTTATAAATGTTTCATAAATGTCGTATCTTTATAAATTGCAAATTTTAAAAAAACGTATAATAAATTTTTTAAAGGAAATTGTATTGTTTACTGGCCGGTATTAGGTTTTCACAGATCTACGAGTGAGGGAAACTCGATTTTGTTTCACCGTTTCGTCACATTTCTCTGATTACTTCGGCTCTCTTAGCCTCTCAGACAGCTTTACGGGATACCGTAGAAAGTTCGCGGTGAGATACGGTGCGACCGTTCATGAGAATGAATGTGCGAACGTCCCTTCCTTGATCGTTTCTGTCAACGATGCATTACTGCATAACGCATGACTAAAACCGTGGTAAAGTCGGCGATTACTCATTCAATCTTGCTAGAAAACATCAATATTTAGAATTTTAGGTACTTTCTTTTAATTTATATTCAATAAATGCCAATAATTATAAACATCACTCGCTATTTTTCATAAAAGAATACTCTGGATATCTTTTTAAAATATTTAAAAAATCGATTTATCGAAATTTTGAACACTCTTGGACAAAAAGATAAAATCATGCTTCCGACTTTATAATAACGTCCGTCCTTTTATCACGATTGGGGAAATTAATTTCACGACGAACCGGACGAAGATAATTCCGCAAGGAGGAAGGGCGATTTTCGATGAAAGAGGAAGGAAGGAATTGTTCTTTAATTAGCAACGGCTGCGCGGAGTCCGTTGAGTGGCCATCTAACGTTGTCGACCGCAGGTCTCGTACGGGTGTTTCCTGTGAAAAGGAAGACTCCTTGTGCAGCCCCTTTTTCCGGTGGGTGCCTTGACAATTTCACAGGGGACGCGCTAGAATCCGGTCGAGCGAGTCTTCCGTTTCGGGAAAAAGACAAATTGACACGAAGACGACTATAAACTTGTTTTTAAGTATCGTGTAATTTCGATCGCGACATCGGCAAGAATTGGCGATATAGTCTCTCGAAGATAGATCCTCTTTCGGAATTTAAAAAAATCAAAAAACAATTTTACATACTCGCTAATAATTTTTAACTCTCCTTCTAAGAATAAGGAAAATTTTCTAAGATATTAATAATTTATGAGATAGAACGTTGTAAAAATAATTGATGCGATGCATATGTTACTTTTTAACAAATAATCAAGAATTTTTATGATTATTATTTTTTTTTCTTATTGTTAGTTTTCTTGGCTATCCCGTTTTTCAAATAATCAATTCATTTAATACCGAAGCAGCAAATTTGTATATGAAGGATTATTTACAAGCTGCGCGTGCGAACAAGGAAGAAAGTGAAGAAACATTCCGCCCGCTCGTTCATTATTATTTTGCGTTTTATTTTCC